TCAGTGTGACACATGGATTCCCATTTTATTCAATAGGCTAAAATCCATTGCTATCAGTATTTATTTTTGTGTTTACATTGTTTCATATCTGGCTCGTGGAAGTCATTCTCTGGGCATGTGTCCATCAGTCTCTGGGCACTTCCTAACTTTCTTGCACAAAGATGCTCCAGGCTTGACTTGTGCCACTGGGATCTGGGTGCTGGTTGTGGGTGTTGCTTCAGGCACTCTGGGTACGTAGAGCTGGGGGTGTGATATATAATATAGGCATTCTGTAACTCGATAGCATGACTTACAGAACTCAGGAAAGCACTTACTAGATTACTAGTTTATTAGTAAGTATACAACTCAGGGACAGCCGGATGGAAGAGAGGTACAGGCCAGGTGTGGGCACAGGAGCATCGAACCTCCTTGCACCTGAGTGTTCGATCAGGAAGCCCTCCGAATCTCCTTGCTCAAGAGTTCCTATAACCCGTGTTCACCCCCCCTCGCACAGGTCAGGGGTGGGGCTGAAAGCCGCCCCCCAAGCAGCTTCTACTCCACCCTGCCCTATCTCATCAGCATAAACTCCGATGTGGCTGAGTATCAAAAGGTTCTCTGTAACTCGGGAAATCCCAAGGGTTTTAGGAGCTCTGCCCCAGGAGCCGGGGACAAAGGCCAAATACATTTTTTACTGCAGCACATTCACTTAACACACACAGAAAATCACCGTGCACGGTGTGAACGCACTCTCCTTCTTCACCGTCACCGACGCACAGCACCCACTGACAGGGGCTGTTTGGGTGGTTTACAATATTTTGCAGTACAATGCTGCAATGAATAATTTATGCATATGTGCTTTGTATTGTTGGAGATTTAGCTTCAGGGCAAATTCCCAGGAGTGGTCTTGCTGAGTTAAAATGTTTTAATTTATAAAATGTTATCATTTACAATTATAAATTTAAACCAGGGTCAGGGAGCAAGAATTCCTGACCTCTCAAAGGTCCTAGCTTGAGTAAGAATCAGATTGACATGAGACAGATGAGCAGGAGAAAAGTGAACGTAATGGCGTCCGTCCGTAAGGGGGAATCCATGCTGGCATGGAAATTCTAAAGTCAGGCAAATGTGAAATCCATTTGTCATCCTGCAGAAGGGGGTGGGGGTCTGGGACTTCAGAGGAAAGGGACGCACTTCACAGGGTGATAAGAAGAGCAAATGCTTGCCCTGCCATACAGATGGGTCACTCAGATGAAATTGATCTGTTAATCACCCTTATCCTGGGAAAGATCCCCAGTTTAGGTTCTTCTGTGTCGTTAAGAGGGGGGCAAAAGTTTCTCTTGAGCCTGCAGGGTCTCAGGTGTCTTCAGCTCACAATAATCCGTATGCCAACATGGCACATTCTGGGGAGGTCTGTCCTGAACCTCTCCACCAGCTTCCCCAAGCTTTAGAGCTCCATTTAGAAGCTTACTTATGAATCTAGTCACTTTTCCGTGAGTGTGTCTTCACTTACTCTGTAATTAATATTCTATTAACTTAAGCATTTGATATATTCAGTCTCTAATTTTTTAAAAGACATTTCACAAACACGATGAACTCGATTAATTAGATGTCCTAGGTATTTCAAGCTCTAACCATTCTAAGCATTTTGAACATCATGCAGACCTACAAACCTACCTAACAAAACCTCTATAAGCATTTGTATGCTACTCCATGTTGAACACAACCAAGTCAGAGTCAGTCAGATCTTAAACTGAAATTTGCTCACACATCTAACACTAAAAGCCAAGGTTATTGAGATAAAATTTAAACCTTCAAACTACAACAAGTTGCTTATGCTCCATCAGCAGGAGACAGTATGACTTCATGGTGTACCCAGGGCTTGGGGCAGACCTAACCTGGGCTGCAGGAGCAAGCTCCCCGAAGGGCCATGTGCCAGGCGCCCTGCTGTTGGCCGGCTCCCTTTTCCAGGGTCCCACACATCCTCTGAGTGTCCTTTAAATTTTGTTCTCACCCAAATTTTACAGAAACTGCTTGCAAAAACTCTTTCACAAGCCAGACGCCCTGGAGTGGAACCCCATATTGTTGATAGTGTCAGATAAAATGTCCGAAAGTTAAAACAATTCTTACACAAACATAGACTGTGTCCCAACTTCACAGGCTTCCTGATGCGGGATCCCACAGGATGGTGAGATTCGGGGACAATGTGAGAAACTTTGTGCTCAGGCGGAGAAGAAATCCTAGACCCTCCGTTCCAGGTCAAACCAGGCAGAGTCACACACAGGACATCATGGTCTTTGGGGCCGGCCATCCTTCTACTGGACATGCCGCGTGCACCACGTGGGTCCTTTGTGAGTTAACCCTGAGTTCAGGGACGGGGCAGACCTAAGTAAGCAGATGCACAGTCCGCTCTGCTTCCTCAGGTTGCCCATCTCAGTGTGATCGACGCATGAGGGGATAATTTAGGTAGGACCTGAGTTTTGTTTGGTTGGGTGAGGTTTCCACCGTGGAACTACCAAGCAAACACAGAGCGCTGCACCCTTTTGGGGAGGATATACACGCACGCACACACCACAGACACCCACCAGCCCCATCGAGGTACGCTGTTATGCACCATCACCCCCACCCGCCTCTGACTCTCCCCCACTTCCTATCACACCCTCCCATCTCTTCAGGGCAGCTTTCAAGTGCAACCCTTAAACACCATCCTCAGGGTCGTTGCAAGGTTACATGCCTTTCCCCATCAGGCAAACACTGAGGGCCAGGCCTGGGGATTCAGGGGCGGGATCCAGCAGTAGAAGGTCTCTACTCAATTGGTCATTACCTTCACCAATGCTACCGTCCCAGAAATGGAGACACACCCGCGTGTGCATTCATAGTGCCCGGAGCACAGGGCACCTCCCCCAGCCAGGCCCCTGCCCTCTGCCACGGAGCAGAAAGGTGAGCCTGTGCAGGGGGTAGTGAGGAGGGAGTCCCAGCTCACGGGGGTGACCACACTGCAGTCGGCCTCAGCACCCTGGAACCTCTTAGAACTGCAGCCTGCTGGGTGGCCTTGCAGTGGGACCCTGATGTGGGACCCACAGTGTGGCCTCACCATGTGACCCCCAACATGTGACCCACAGTGTGACCTTAGGTGTGACCCCCTGGTGAGGCCCTGCAGTGGGCCCCACGGTGTGACCCTGAGGGGCTGCAGCTTGAGGAAGACCGTGGAACAGAGGAACCAGAACACGGGCTCTTCCTTCCTAGGAGTCCTATGATGAGGTAACCCTTCCAGGGTCCCCTTTGCATGCATGTGCCACACATGCACACTCACACACGTGCACATTCACATGCATACACAGAGGCAAGGTGCACACTCACAGTGCACGCTCACACGCGTGCACGCTCACACGCGTGCACAGGGGCAAGGTGCACACACACGTGTATACTCATTCATATGCACAGAGGCAAGGTGCACGCACATGTGCACACTCACACGTGTGCAGACACATGCTCATGCACACGCATGCACACTCACGCAGGCAGGCAAGGTACACACACACAGAGGCAAGGCACACACGTGCACACTCACACATACATGCAAACATGCATGCACATGTACTCTCACTCTCTCCCCTCCCCAGATGTCCCCACACACAGATCCACATGCGTGTTCTCTTGGATGGAGACCCTTCCCCAGGGTGGGGCAGTGGGTGGGGGCAAGCAGAAGGTGGCAGCTATCCTGGGGTGTTGAATAGGGCTCCTTGAACTGGCCGGAGTTGACCTGATGCATTGTTTTTTTAAGATTTTATTTATTTATTTGAGAAAGAGAGAGAGCATGAGCGGGGTGGGGGCAGAGGGAGACGCAGACTTCCTGTTGAGCAGGGAGCCCAACATTGGACTCCATCCCTGGACCCCGGGATCATGACCTGAGCTGAAGGCAGACGCTTAACAGACTGAGCCCCCCAGGTGCCCCAGACCTGATGCATGTTTTGAATAGACTCCCTCCAGAACTGGTCTCCAGAACCCAGAGGGCAGAGGCCAGCCAAGTGGAGGGTCAGTGGGGGAGGGGGCACACTAGGGAATCTGGGGAGTCCCGGAAGGACTTGAAGGGTCTCACAGGGCCCTGGGGCCTGTCCACTGAGAGCCCCAGTCACCCCTACAGGAGCCAGGCCCAAACTGCAATGGAGTTTGGAGGCCTTCATCTCCTATCTCATGGACAGCCCCTGGGCTGCCGCAGAGGCCCCACAGGGTGGACACCAGTGGGTGGTGCACCAAGACTGAGTGCTGGCCCCGGACAGCAGCTGGGTACCTCGTGACCAGCAGCCTGGCGAGGTCCTCCCAGGACTGCAGTGTTAGAGGCTCAGCCCCTCTTTGGGGTTCTCAGGCCCCAGCCTTCCTGAGGTCACCCCACTGAGAACCAGCCCAGGACAGACATCTTCAGGAGATGCAGCTCCCAGGGGGTGCATTTGGGTGCTCTGCAGGGCTAGCTGAGGGGCTGGCCTGGGTGGACAATGGAGGTCAGGCAGGCAGTGGCCTCTCCTCCTTCATGTGGAGGCCACTGCTCCTGGGTGCAGCAGGTATGCGTGGGGGTGGGAACACCAGCAGCCTGCGGACAGGGGGCCTCAGACCCCCGACCACTGACCACTGGTGTGGGTAAGGACAAGGGTCAGGGCAGGCAGGGTGGCTTGGGGCAGCCCCGCGTCCAGGCTGCTGGGTGTGCTGGGGTCCCTGCCCTCTGGAGCCACGGGTCTGGGTCATGCAACCCGGGGGTAGGTGTTGGCTGGGGGTGTGGGGCAGAGTGCAGCCAGCCCCAGACCCTGCTCCGCTGAGGGCACTGGGGGTGCCACTCCCCTAGGCCTAGCGTCTCCGCAAGCCTGACACGGCCTGGCCCCAGCAGGGGATCTGTGCAAGAACTGGACACATGCCGCATGGGGAGCAGGAGGAGGAGTCCAGGCTGGAGGCCGAGGGCCCCACAGGCCCAGCCTCCTTGGCCTTCTGAGCTGGCACAATCTGAAAGCCGCCAGAGCAAAAGATCAACGGTCCTATAAAGTGGTTCATTTAGACGTTTTCTCTTTATGGTGTGCACAACTGTGTTATTTCATGACCTTAAAAACCACAGCCTTTTGAAGTGACAGGACTTTGTCGTCTCTCTTTCATCTGTCTGCTGTCTCTGGGCCACACGGCACAGCACTGTAGGGTGGGAATACTGCCTGAGGAGTGGGGGGCCGTGTGTGCATGTGGGGGCCCCTGCACACAGCTGGGCTTTGGCCCGCAGGCCCCCAGCACCAACCCCAGACAGAGCAGCCACTGATATGGCCTGGATTGGGCCCTCGGTGTCCGTGAGGACCGTGTGTGCCCTCTGGGAGCTTGGCCCTGGCCCACAGTGGGTATGGATGGGCCTGTTGGGTCCCCGTCCCATGCCACAACTGTGGGGGCTGGAGGGTCCCCACTGCTCCTGGGAGGCTCTTGCTCAGCCTGGGGCCCAGACCATGCCCCCTGCTTTGGACATCTCAGAGACCAGGTGCTGGGGCCCCTTGGAGTGGATCCTGGTGCCAAGCACTGCCCCCAAGAAAGTTCTGGCACCCAAAGCCACCCAGCAAGCCCTGGGGTTCACGGGACCATCCCCTACTTGGCAGGTCCTCCTGTGACCTGGGGTCCTACCTTGTGCCTTTGCTCACACTGCCCCCTTGCCCAGAGCCCCTCCCTTTTCTGCCCCTCACACACCTGCCTCTGGCCAGTCTCCTGTTGAGGGCGACCCTCCTGGGGCAGTCCTGGCCCCAGGAGAGAGGCGAGCAGTCCAGCCTCTGTGTTCCATTAACACGTGTTAAGTGTCCAGGCTGCTGAGTGGGGAGCTTTGGTTTAGCAACAGACCACAGGATCTGCTGTGCTTCCACAAGAGAAGTTGAAATAGAGAAGTTTGTTGCTCACGGGTCCTGGAGGAGGTGTGTGCATGCCTGGAGAGGCCACGTCAAGGTAGTGTGGTCAAGGCAGAGTGCAGACAAGGCAGGATCAGAAGCTCCCACCAATACCACGGTCTCTGGGTGGGGTGCTCTGAGGATCCTGAGCTAGGACCAGATTGGTCAGTTCAAACCACAAGAGCAAGGTTTTGGTAAGACCCATGGTGTGGGCTGGGGGGTCTTATCTAAGGGGCACGTAAGGAGAAGGTCCTGGGAGGTGGGCACAGGGTAAGGGCTGCTCGGGGGTCAGATGAGGGACTTGCTGCTCTGTGGCTGTGGCCTGGGCCCGAGCTTGCAAACCAGAGTAGCTGAGCCAAATACTCACCAGTGTGGCACTGGGCCACAAGCCCAAGGGAAGCCCAGGCGTTCTGGGGACATGTGCCCAGCACTAACTTCAAATCTGTCGGGAGGTCACCTGCCAACTGCTCATTTACAGACAGATGAGCTGAGGCTCAAGGCAGCGCCCCGGGGGCCACCCCTCATTTCCAAAGGCCTGCCCTGGCGCTCTCCTGGAGCCGAGGGGGTCTCTGGAGCCTGACTGACCTTCACATGGGCACGGGCATGGGTTGTGAGGGTCTCACCCCCACCCACTGGGCAGGGCTCAGAGCGGAGGGGGCCGTGCAGCTCGGCCTCGCGGTGCCCCCTGTTCTGCCCCGACAGACAGAACCAGCTCAAGCGTTTCATGTTCTTGTCTGCAGATAGTTCCCTGTTCTCACGGGGAAGGGCGTCTGCCGAAGCCCAGAAACACCAGGGTGCGGAGTGACGTCTGAGCCCAGGAAGCCAGACTTCAGGGTGAGCGGGCAAGGATGGAGAACATAGCTCCACCAGGCGACAGCCCCCAGGCACAGGCACACCCTCCGCCCTGGAAAGGGAGGCCGGGAGGGAGCAGAGACCCAGGTGTGACGGGGCGTCCCCACTGAGGACACACGCTGGCCTTATCGTTCCCAGCCATGGACGGCTGTGGCTGGCCCCTCACAGGCTCTCAGAGTCGACAGCTGTGTGTTGGTGCCCTGAGAGCGGAGGGTGAACGGCCCAGGGTCCTTTCGCTCGGCCTGGTGCCCCCGCTCACCCCAGCATCACCATGCTCCGTGTCCCAGGACGAGGGGCAGGTGCCTGGAAGAGCTGCTCAGGGAGGGGGCCACAGGGAGCCAGCATGGTCTGCCCTGGTCCCCTGGACACGAACCGGCCACCCAGACAGCGGCAGTGACCGTCTCCTCCTCAAGAGCAGGCCAGATCCTAAGGGGACCTGCTGCTTTCCCCAGCCTCCCCTCACATAGTCTCATCAAAAAGCCCCTCCCCAAACAGTCGGCCACCTGGGCTGACGTGGCCACCTCTGCCTTCAGAGCAGGCTGTGGGGCCCTCGGCGAGGGTGAAAGTCCTGACCAGACGTGAGGGTCCCGTGTACACCACCTGGGTCTCGGGGAGGCCATGCCTGCAGGGCCAGCCACGGCCCCAGGGGCCCCTCCTGTCGTCACACGGGGTTAACCCCAAGACCCTCGTGTTTCATCAGCTGCAGAGAGACGAACTGGCAGAAGCACAGGCCCAGCTCCAGGTGGCCTGGAGCCCCCTGGGTGTCCTCGCAGGCGGGGAAGTGTGCGTGGGCCACGCAGCAGGTGTAGCTGGACGAGAAGCGCAGGAGGGCCTCCCGGAACAGGGCCTCGCCCTGTGGGGCCTGCAGGAAGACCTGCCTGCAGTCCCCCAGCAGCACGTACACGAAGTGCAGCTTGTTCATGGTGTCACAGCCCATCAGCAGGGAGTGGGGCGCCAGCAGGACGTTGGCCTCGCCCACTCTGAGCTCCAGCTCCCGCATCTTCTTCCGAGAAAACCTCCTGAACCAGCACAGGCTGTTGACCCCCAAGGCGACGAGGAGAGGGCAGAAAAAGACCGTGACGGCGATGAGGAGGAAGCGCTCCGCCGGCGGGTTTCGCTGCACCCCCAGCATCACGGGGAGGAGAAGCATCCCCAAGGAGAGGATGATCAGGAAGACGCCCAGTGGGACCCTGCAGCCCAGGTATCGGAGGCAGGACCTGGGGGACTGCACCCCATTCAGGATGCCCACGGCATGCCTGTACACCTCGGGGTCCTCCAACACCTCCTTCAAGGGGTCGGGGACACCCAGGGTGCTGAAGGACCCCACCTTCCACGAGGGTAGGCTGTCCCTGTTGATGCAGTTCAGGGTCAGGAGGGTCTTCCCGCTGTAGAGGGAGGGCGTCGGGTGCCGGGCGGGCAGGGCGCGCGTCAGCCTGTGGTTGGGCTGGCACAGGAGATGCTGCACCTTGAGGTGGAAGCGGCTGTCTGTGGCCTCCAGGTAGGTCAGGTGGCTGAGGTGCAGCGGGATCTGGCAGGGCCGCAGCAGGACCGGGATGACCGGCTTCCTCTCCAAGCAGTAGCCGAACAGGGACAGGTCGGCCTCCAGGAGGCACCACCTACTCTGCACAAAGTCCTGGCTCAGCACCAGCAGCACCTTCTGGCTCTGCTGGATACACTCGGCCATGTTCTCCAGGACGTTCCTGCCCGGGGTGAAGTCCCGCTCGTGCAGGCAGATTCTCAGCCCCGGGAGGTCGGCTTCCAGGCGGCTGATGAGCCCGTGCGTCCACACGGCATCCATGCTGCTGTAACTCACAAACAGGTGGAACTTCTCGCCAGGCTTCAGTGGGGAGATGGCCGGGGCCACCCCTTCCTCCGCAGGGCCAGGATCCATGGGTGCTGCCTGGGAATCCAGCCCTGGAAGCCGCCTCTGGTCTCCAGGGAAGAAAACCACCCTCGGGCTGCAAGAGATGGAGACAGACTGACTGGGCAGACTACGGGACCACCAGCTTGGAAAGCCATGCACAGCCCCTGGGACCACTCGCCCAAACCTGCCAGGAGATGGACAGTGACCAGACGTGAGGGTCCTGTGTGCACCAGCTTTCCCACTCACCGCTCCCCCTTCCACCTCAGGAGAAAGCCAGCATGCTCCCTGGACCAACCTCAAGGGTGCCCCTCTTCCAGCTCTGTGCTCCCAGCCTCCATCGGGGCCCCTGAGCCCCCTTCCCAGCACGACGTCTCCTACTCCCCTGCCTGCCCCTGGGTCTCTGCCACACACACGTGTCATGGGACCCCCAATTCAGTGCACTCTGAGGAATCAGCCTCATCTGGGGGGGGGCCTTCCTTGATGTCCACAAGACATTGGCTTTGAAAGGCTTGGTGCACATGGTGGCCACACCTTCCCGTCCTTTCTTTCTCTTCATTTGTGGTTCATGTGGTTCCTGGGAAGGAGGGGTTGCTATAGACTGGATGTTTGTGTCCCCCAAATTCGCATGTGGAAGCCCTAACCCCCAGGTGATGGTACTGGGAGGTGATTGGGGCATGAGGGTGGAGCCCCATGGATGGGGTGAGTGCCCTTATAAAGAGGCCCCGGAGGGCGCCCTCAGCCCTCCACCGGTGAGGATGCAGCGAGCAGGCAAGCCAGGAGGTGGCCGCACCAGAAGCTGACCATGCTGACGCCCTGACCCCAGAACGCCAGTCTCCAGACTGAGAAATGACTGTTGCTTAAGCCCCCAGACTACGGCGCTATGTCCGGAGCCCAAGGGGACGAAGACGGGTCTTCGATAATACTTGCTCCAGAAAAGCAGTCACACTTTCCAGAAAGCACTAGAACTGTCTCTGTGCCGCTCGAGACCCTCATGTCGAGATCTTGCTGTTCAGACTCAGTGGACAGAGCACTGAGCTGCAACTCTGGCCACCAGAGGTCTGTCTGCTCGTTTCCAAGGAGGCTCATCGAGCACCATCTCCCCAGGACTCACGGCGGAGGTTTTCTCGATTTTCTGATGTGCCCACAGCTAGCTGAGGTGACCCTGCCCAGACACCCTGCCCACTGGAGCCCTGCACACCCACATGGCAGCTGGTGTGACGGCCAGCCTCACAGGCACACCGTGGGCCGAGATGCCACTCTGCCAGGCAGTCCCCCGCTGAGACCCCTCCCCTCTTGGGTGAGCAGGAGCAGGGAAGTCAGAGGAGGACCAGTGAGCCACTCTGGGAAATGAAGGAGGAAGGAGCCTATCTGCCCACTCCCTGCTTCCACAGGGACCCCTATCTCCACCTGCTCTACCTGGTGACTGGGAGGAAGGCACCCACATGGGGGTGACAAGGAGGGGACTCATCCCATAGCCCAGCCGGCACAGCACTGGGCTGGAACCTTTGCACGAGGCCACGGTGTCCACCCTTCCTGCCCAGCAAGCCCTGGTGCGTGGGCACCATCCCCCAGACCACCCCCTTCCAGGTGGCACGAACACCAGGGGAGCAAGGCTCTGGGGGACACACTTGGAAAGCCTGCTCTCACAGGGTTCCCGCTCCGGGAAGGCTGGCCACCCCTTCCTCTCACCGAGTGGGTAAGGACGTGTCCAGGAGGCACCTGCACCTGCTCCGCCACGGTTAAGTGCTGGGACTCGGACACGATCCTGGGCCCCGAGGGCCTGAAGAGTGCAGGCTCTCGGCCAGCCGGCACCGCTCGGTCCTCACTGCTGCTCCTCATGCGGGTCCTCAGGGGAGGCCTGGGAGGCAGCTGGGGACCCTCCCCCACGCTGTCCCCAGACAGGAGGAAGTCTGCACCCAACACTTTCTAGAGGCTCTCTGCTAAAGCACAAGTAGTGGGAAGGCGAAAGAAGGAAGTGAATTGAGGAAGGCCCCGCCTGCAGGATGGGGCTGGGTGGGCAGAGGGAGAACAGGCACAGCACTGCCCCTTCTGAGAAAAGATTCTGGCTGGAGCCCCCGGGTCTGGAGGTCTGTGTGATGGGGACTTTGCTGGAGCCACGGGGCTTGCTGGCTGCTGGACCAGGCCCCTCCTGCTGGAAGAAGTGACGGGGATGACTAGGGGTGACTCGGTGTCTCCTGGTTGGGTTCGCTGGAGTGGGTCTGGCCAGGCGCAGGGGTGGCAGTGCATCCTCTGTGTCCCTGGGGCTGGCTGCACCCTCCAAGAGAAGATCCCAGCTGCTGGGCGGCCTCCCCAAATGGCCACGTGGGGCTCGGGCCACTTCCCCTGCTCCTGCCCTCTCAGACACAACAGCCTGGGAGCTGCACCCCTCCTGGCGGTTTCGGGAAACCCACCCGATAGCCCCATCACTGGCCCTTTCCCCAGTTCTACTCATAACCCAAGGGAGGAGCCATCTGTGTCCGTCGGGGCCCTGTCCCCTCCTCCAAGACCTCCTCCCACCTGAGCCAAAGGTGTGTCTCCAGAGGCTCCTCTCCAATCTGATCCATCACCCTACAGGCGATCACCTAAGGAAATCGCTCTTCAAACTCATACCTGAGGAAGAAACTCAAACTCACAAGCTACTGTGTTGCTCCTGGGAAACCAGCAAAGCCCAGAATTTATGAAGCAGCTTCTGCTGGTGATGCTGGGGAAGCTGGCACACACTATATGAACCACGGTGGCCCCTGATTTGTCACCACTGGTTTGGAACACAACCCGGTAATGTCCTCCAAGAGGCATGGAGAGAGGGGTTTGCTCTTTGAGGACAGAATCCCATAGAAAAAAAAGCCATACGCCTAGCTGATGGATTCGTGCCTGAAATAATGGGACTTTGAGGGACGCACACTTCCAGCATTGTCACTTTTTGGAGGATGAAGATTTTCTTTTTTTTTTTTTTAAGACTTTATTTATTTGAGAGAGAGAGAGAGAGAACAAGTACACAAGGGGGAGAGGGGCAGAGGGAGAGGGAGAAGCCGACTCCTGGGTGGGCTGAGGGTGGAGCCAGCCTGCAGGGCTGGGGGCTCAGGGCTCAGGGGCTCCGGGGCTGGGGGTGCGGCTCAGAGGCTCAGGGCTCTATCCCAGGACCCTGAGACCATGACCTGAGACAAATCAGACAATTAACCAACTGAGCCACCCAGGCACCCGGTATGAAGAAGATTTTCCACAACTAGTCCTTCGAGGGGCTCACCCCTCCCTGCACATCCTGCCCCCCTCCCCCCGATCAGATGGATGCCCACGCCTCACCAACACCCACTCTTCCAAAGCAAGGGTGGCCTGGGGTGCCACCCAATGAGGAGAGGAGCAGAAGCCTGTGGCCTCCCTGCTTCAGTTCCCTCTTCTGTTCAGCAGAAGCTAACAGGGCTCAGGGGTAGTTTCCACTTGCAGGAAGGAAGGGAGGGAGGGAGGGAGAAGCGGCTCCAAGGGAAAGCCCAGTCAGTGCTGCCCCTGGGAGGCAGAAGACACCACTGCTCTTTGCTCCTGTGACCTGGGCCGAGAGAGGGGTGGAGGGGGCATAACTCCCAGGCCCCTGACGGCTGGGGGCAGCCTGGGAAGGAGGTCTGCTGGCCAGAGCCCTCCCTGGCTGCACACCCACCTGCACTCCTGGGTCCTGTAGCACTTGGGGACACCCCTTCCTCCCCCCACTTTCTGCGGTCACACTTACGCAGGTCTGGGAGGGTGGGGTGGTCCCAGACCCAGACTTCATTTCCCTACCGGAGGATTTTTACAACCCCCCCCCCCATACACACGCACTCACACCCAGGCCTCCAGGGGACCCTGCTGAGCCCAGGCCCGGCTCAGACCCGGGGCTCCAAACCCAAGCCTGGGGGTGGGGAGAGCACAGGAGTGGCAGGTGGGGGGTTCAAAGGTGGACCCTCCCGTTTCACACCCCCCACCCTCCTCGTTAACTCTGCTTCCCTAGCAGACAGCTGTCGGCTCTTCACCAAAGCTTGTTTGCTCCTTAGCGGTTAAGTGCCGTGGGCCGGGTTCCCAGGGATCCCTGGGGTCTCAGAGCAGCACGATCCACTCTGGCTTCCCAGCTCCCAGAGTTCCAATATGTGCTGGGCGGCTCTGACAGGTCAGCCGCTGCCTCTGACCCAGTTCGGCAGGGCCCCGCTCCTCTGGGGGTGGCAGTGGGGGAGGAGGTGACCGTGGGGGTGGGGGAGGGGGTCCCTGGCCTGGGCCCGCTCCATCCACCGTACTCCAGGCAGGTCACTGTGAGGGGTCCAGCACCAAGAAGAGGGGTCTGGACCAGCGAGGGGGAGCTGGGGAGGTGCCAGGGTGCGTGCAGCACAGCCCCGGCCGAGGTGGGGGTGAGATGCTGCAGGGAAGGTGACCCAACCCTCCCCTTCCGTGGCTCCTCTGTCGAGGGTCAAGGCTGCTCACTGAGTGCAGACCCTTGGGGGTGGGCTGGGCATGGGCAGCCACCATGCCCTCCTCCCCGTCTGTAGTCAGGGACCCTCTGGGCCATGGTCAGTGGTCCTTGGGGCCTAGTCAGTGACACAGACATCATTGCAGTCCTGAGCTGTCAGCGACTCAGGGCAGACGTGCCTGCCTGAGCGACCGCCTTGCCCGCACCCCGCTTGGTTCAGGCCTCCCAGACCTCAGCGACTCCGCAGAGGGCACCGCTTTCCTGTGCCACCTGGGCTCCTGCTTCCCAGCTCTGTGCCCTGCCCTGGCACTCCGGAAGCTTCCGGGGCGGTGTGGCTCTCTGGGCCTGTCTTCACTTCTCTGTGGGCATGCTGCTCAGCGGCCAACCGAGAACAGCCTCCTCCCTGCCCCCCTCTGCACCCTGCTCCCGGTCCCCTCACCTTTTGACAGGTGACGGATTATCAAGGAAATGGGAGGAAGGAATGACAGGAGTTAGGGAGAGAAGGGGAGGGAAGGGAGAGGGGAAGGAGGAAAAGAAGGGAGAGGGAGACAGAGCAGGGAGGGAAGAGGGGGCTGTGGGCCGCGGCCTCGTGGGGCAGCCACGGGCAGGTTCGTCCCTCCCACAGGCAGGGACGGGCCCCAGTTCCCGTCATCCCGGGCCGGTGCTGGGGGGGGCTGGAGAGGAGAGCAGAGGGAGGGAGGGGGCAGAGAACCCGGTGCTGGAGGAAGGTGGCAGAAGGCAGGTGGTCATTAGGCTGCTGGCCAGGTCCAGGTGGCAATGGCGCTGCTCCCCGGGCCCACATGGGGGCAGCCAGGGCCTCTTGCTTGCCCTTCCAGCCAGACCTGGCCCAGTCCTGAGTGCATCCAAGGGCCATCAGCCCAGTCTGGTGGGAGAGCTGAGTGCGGACATGACCACATCCTGGGTTCCTGGAGCGCCTGCGGCCCCTGCCCGTGTGTTAGTGGGGACAGTCTGGAAAGCAAGCCCGTGCTCCCAGCACTCGAGGCCAGAATGTGTAGGGCCGGGACACAAGAGGCGGGGTGCTGCCGCACTGGGGTGGTCCCGCCCATCACCTGGCTGCCCTGTCCCTTGGTGGTCACACCATTTCCCAGCCCACGGCTATCAGGCATCTGAGGTAGGGCTGACTCGGTCAGGGAAGAACAGAGATTGTAAGGCTTCCTGCGACCCTAGCTCTGCTCTTTGACTATCCACGTGGCCGTGGGACAGACCCTTAAACTCAGGTGGCTCAGCTGGGAAGGGCAGACGCTGCCTCTCTGAGGTCAAGGGCAGGGCTTTGGCCAAGCAAGGTGGCAGGGAGCTTTGTTTGACCTAAAGTTTCTGGGGGTTTTTGTTGTTGTTGTTTTATTAATGTGTTGCCACATTTTAAAACTAGCAGTTTGGCCCCAGCAAAGGTCCAGGAACACCCCCTCCTTCCCAGGCACTGAAGGAAGTTCAGAGTCAGGTCGGGAGGTGGAGCCTGGCCAGAAGGCAGCTGAGACGCCACCAGGGTGGGTCTGTGGTCCGCGGGAGTAGAGGACACAGATGCTCCTGCTAGGACACATCCTCCGGGGCCCTGAGAACATGCTGTTCTATAGCATTACCCATAAAATACGATGGCATGTTACCCACGATAGCGAGACTGTGGGATCGACCCAGACGTCCCACAGCTGATGAAGGTCAATCTGCACAATGGAGTGTGGCCCAGCCACCGAAGGAACAAAGTGTGTTGTACATGCCGCAGTGTGCGTGAGCCTCGGGAAGCAGCATCTGGAGTGAAAGGGGCCAGGCACAAAGACCACATCCTGTCTGATTCCGTTTACCGGTGATGTGCGCAACAGGCAAATCCAGCTAGAAAGTAGATTAGCGGTTGCCAGGGCAGGGGCCAGGGGCAGAGGGGAAAAGGGAACGGCAGCTAATGGCGGACGGGGTTTCTTACCAGGACTGGGACAATGTTCTGGAATTAGAGAATTGTGACAGCCGCACAACCTTGTGGATACACTAAAACCCACTAAAATGCATACTTTAGAATGGTAAATTTTATGTTCTGTGTATTATATTTCAACTAAAACAAATCAAGATGGCATAGGAAAGGTAGGGCTGTGTAAGCAAAGCGCTGGGAACTCAGGAGGTGTAGGTGCTGCCGACCAGAAATGCAGCTGGATCAGCAGGGAGGAAGTGCCACCTGCCGGAGCCACGGAGCCACACCAGCCAAGCCCTCTGGAGCTTTGTGTGTTTTCTTCAAAGACAGCCAAGAGAGCCACTGTGCCCCAGCTCGGGGCTTGGGCTGTAATTCTCGGCCCGCTCCTCCCCTCCAGATCTGGAGAACCAGAGAGTGAGCCAGCACCACTCCCGCGCCTCTCCTGCTCACCTCCCAGCCCCCGTGACCACACTGTCCTGAGGTAGGTCCTCACCTCTCCTGAAGGACAGGTGGCTCTCCTCCTTCCTTCTCATTAAGGCTGAACCGGAAGACCTCGGCGCTGCTGTCCGAGCCTCTTTGAACGGTGTCTGGA